TTAGACATAACTTAGGTCAATGCAATCCGAACGAAACATCAACAGACTAGACGCAAAAGTGGCCCGTTAAGAGCAAAGAAGCCAACACATTGTGCCGAAATGGAACGAGCATTGACTAGCTACCTACAAACGCGAGCCAGGGCTTAGCTTTCGCGATCAAAAGCAACATACCCATACATAGGTACATACATACATACATACATGTTACAACATACCCCACCCGGCTCTGATACAACATGTACCTAGCCGCCATCTTGGAAAAAACATCCTCGTGCTAAAAAACAGCGGACAGCTGGAGAAATCCGTTTTCACTCACGCAGCCTTAGAACCTACCCTCACCACCGCTACGGAGATCTTTCAAATTCGTGCACATCTAAATGCCCAGAACACACATTTTCTTGTAACTTGTTTTTTTTTTATAATGACATTAAAAAAACATAAAATCGGCTCTCACCTCGAGACGCGTCCACTCAGCCACAAGACAGAACAGGGAAAGATGGTGCCCGGAAAACCTCGTCGGCTGGTCGTGTCGCGAGCGCCATCCATTGGATAAATTTGGCGCAATTCGCCCTGATACAACTTGGACATGATACAACTCTCCCCGCTCTCCCCTATCCAGGGCCTTCTCGATGCGCTGATTCCGAAAATGTGCCTCTTTGGGGTGGTATTTTGCACCTTTAACGAGTTAACGACCAATTAACATTTTAACGGGAAACGGTGGGGTCTTCGATTTGACTGAAAATCAGTAGGGTAACTGTGGGGAAGACGCACCCCTGGGTTAAACGCCTCCCCTAAAAAATCGTATTTCTTACCGACGGATAGGTGTTTTATCCTGTTTTTCAGAACAATCAGCTGCTTGTTTACGTAGGCCTCTATTTCCGGTTCTGCGTCTTGAAGAGCAGCGTGGGTAGGTGCTGATGTTGGTTTTGGGTGTTGTTTTTGTTGTTTTTACAGAAGATTCCTAATATTTTGATGCCCTCTTTATATCACAAAACTTGCTATTGTGCACATCACTCAAAACTGCGTTTTATTGTCTTTCTGTTGAACGTATTATGCTGCGGCGTTAGTGGCGCGTTTTTTGTCAATATTTTGTTGACCGGAAATGGAGCGGATGGGGCAAGACGCCTACTCGATGCATGGGGCAAGACGCCCCCAGTTTTCTGAAAGGGGGGCGTTTTGCACGGTGGTGAGGGTGCAGGGTAGCGCCCTGTAGGTCGGGGCCGAAAAGGCCTCTCCCTGTCCTTTTTTGCTGATATATCCTAAACGACTGCAAATATCGTCACCAAACTTTCAGGACTCCTCCGAACATCCATTTTACACATTGCAACAAAATTTTATTCCAAAGGCTATGATAGGTTGACCACAAATGACGTCAGAATGACGTCAAGTTCTGCCATGTTCATCATTTTCTGTTGATGGATGGGGTGGGGGCGCTTTGCACATGGGTGTGGGCGTATTACCCAGGGTATGGGGCAAAACGCCCTTTTGTAAGGGTATGCGAAAACCTTTTTGGGGGGTTAAATACCACACGCAGGTGTCTTTTCTTGGTCTCAAAGCGTAGTAAAAAGAATGAGCTACATGATGGTGCCAAAAGGTTTAAGTACCTAATCTGTGTTGGGTTGAGTGTCAGAAGGTTTCGCGCTTAAGGGGGGCGTTTTTGACCTATTCACCCTACACAGGGCCTCCTCGATGCGCTGATTCCGAAAATATATTTTTTGTATGGCATTTTTCACCGTTAACGAGTTAACGGCCAATTATCTTTTTAATAGGGAACAGCTGGGTCTTTCGATTTGGCTGAATCTTAATTAGGTATTATTTTTGTTATCTTTATCGCGGTACTTTACACAATTAGCGATTTAATTTCTTAGAAACAGCCTTTGACGTAATAAAATAACTTTATTTTCAACACTTGCGGATCCAGGGGGCATTTACATAGGACCATGCCCTTCCAGCGTGTTTGCCCCCTCCCCCAAGACCCGAGGTTTAATATTACGCCCATGGTGGTGCATTGAAAAAAGGGGCTATTTCGGCCATTTGCCTCCCCCCCCTAAAAAAACTTGCGGCTGGATCCGCGAATGATCTTCATCGTTGAGCCGTTGACATCCTTTTTTGGCTCTTACAATGCATTACGTATTACACAAACACATGCCTCGCTTGGTCTTGGAAAAAAAACTCTTCCGGAAACAGAGGCCACACCAGACATGGCGGCGTTACCAGCGGACCGTCTAGCCAGGCTCCCTCGCGCGCTCACTCCCACGTAGCTCACGATTCTCACGATTCACTCGTCTCGAACTCGTTGGCCGTTAACTCGAATTATAATGTATTTGAAGTTCAAATACATTATAATTCTTCCCGCATCAATCGCATCAGGGAGGTGCGTGCGATTGATGCGAGCGTGCTTCCATGTATTTGAATGGGCTCTCGCATGCGATTTCCTGACTGCGGAAAGAGTCTGTTTCAGGCATAGGGGCTATCGGCGGACCCTACAACCCGTAGGGGGGGGGGGGGGTTGGCGTTTCGGCCCCCCTAAGATCTCGGAAATTTACCGGCCGATTTTTAAAATTCAAACGGCGTTCGATAGTCCCATCGAGGAACTACCTTGTGACCAAATTTCATTGACCTAGGTCAAACCGATGACGTCACATGTCAGGTCAAAGGTCCGATTTTCACCGTTCACAGGCATATCAAGAAATGTGTTGTGAAATCGAGTAAAATGGTAAGTTATTGAACACCATCGATGGTACAATGCTCGTCAAACGCATACTTTGCTATCTGAGGTCACTGATACCAGGTCAGTTCACAGAGGTCAGGTCACTGGGGGTCCCAATATGAAAGTGTCATGTGATACATGTTTCATGGTCCATTTTACATGACAAATGCGATTATGTGGGTCAGGCAGCCTTTGGGGCCATTTAGGCTACGTTCTGGTGAAGTTCAGGTCAAGTTTAGGTCAAATTAGGTCAAACTTCAAAGTTGATATTTTTGCATAAAATGAGTAATTGATTCGATGCAGCTCGTCATTGGGAGTCTAATGGTGATCTTTGTTTTGCCTTACGTGGTCTAGAATTGCCGAAAATTGAGTTTAAAAATTTGACATCATCTTTTTTAACGTTTTTTTTCGCTATAACTTGGCCAAAAAGAAGAGATATCGATCTGAATTTTGGTATGTAGATAGAAGACGGTAGTTACTATTATACCTGTTCCGTTTTTTTGAAATTCATTTTTTCATTTCTTGTAAGATTTGGTTGGGTAGAATAGACTATGTAATCCCTGGACACTATGAACTCTGGCTCATTCAAGGCACTGACAATTTTGAACACTGGACCAATGGGGGGGGGGGGGGTAGGGGGACCAACGTGCCCTGGGCATTATGAACCCTGGCCATTTCGAATCCTCGACACATCGGCCCTGAACATTGTGAACCCTGGCCTCTTTGATTTTACCCTATCTGCAGCCAGTTGGCCACCTTTGGACCATTTAATCTAGGAACAATATGAACACTGGCCAATTCAAGGCCCTGGCTATTTCAAATACTGGACACATCGTGCCCTGGAAATTATGAACCCTGGTCTAAATGTTACGTACCCGCCGGCGGCGCGTATTTAGAAAACAAATAGGTTGGTTGGGTGTTTCCCCCGGAGTCCACCGGTGGTACATATATTTAATCATCAACGAAAGAAGCATTTGAGATCAGCATCGGGAGATTGAGTGAAACGTGAATCAATAAATGGCGCTGCATAGGGCTAAAGGTGAGGATAGGATTTGTTTAACAGTTAGAATTGATTAGAAGAGTGCATAAGATTAATGGTTAGAAGGTTGGGAGGCAGCACCATTTACGAGTATGATAAGATCACAGAAACACAGGACTACATTTTTTTTTTTTTTTTGGGTTTGGCCCTTTCGGTCCAATGAGACCATTTCAGAGCCGGGAGGATGATAGGATATAGGGGGAGACATTGGTCTGGGCAGGCACCCTAGTGAGTCGCCGGGGCTGAGCCCGTCCAGAGGACAGGCCACCCAGCCCCAAGGCACTCACTGCACCCGGCTACGGGGTGCGCTCCCTCGGGAGCAGCGGTGCCGCTCCAAGGGAGCAGCCCGCATGAGATAAAGTTGCCTGTCCAGTCCGGAGGGGGGTTGCGGCGTGGAGGAGAAGGATTTCAGTATCCTGAGGATAGAAGCATGGAACGGTGCAGGACTACAAAGGCCACCATCCATCTCGAGCTGGGTTTGTCGCAGTTCTCCACCGTAGTCAAGGCTGGAAGGCCCGGGAAGGGCGGCGCACATCAACAAAGCGACGAGAGCGACATCTATAGGCTGGTGTCAGTCAACCGCAGAACGTGAGAGAGGGTTACACGTGTGCAGAATCAGCACTACCTGTCAGGCCAATTCGCACACAGAGTAGCGCAGCCGCGGGACCGCTCCATCAGCGATAACAGCGCCACCTACAAAATCCGGAGTCACATGTTGGACCAGCTCGCAGACTGAGCGCCAGGTCGCGAGCAGGTTTAGCTCAGCTGCGACAACGGCGTCCGCCGCAGACAGGTTCAGCGCCATCTGTTGTTCCGACTTGTAGCTAGAAGTTGCCTTCAGTCACTGCAGCACAAACAGGTTGACACTGGAGAACAGAGCCGACCTGCAGATAAAGTTACCTTCAGTCGCTGCAGACCTCACTCACCTATCCGTGCTTCTATCCTCAGGATACTGAAATCCTTCTCCTCCACGCCACAACCCCCCTCCGGGCTGGACAGGCAACTTTATCTCATGCGGGCTGCTCCCTTGGAGCGGCACCGCTGCTCCCGAGGGAGCGCACCCCGTAGCCGGGTGCAGTGAGTGCCTTGGGGCTGGGTGGCCTGTCCTCTGGACGGGCTCAGCCCCGGCGACTCACTAGGGTGCCTGCCCAGACCAATGTCTCCCCCTAATTCCTATCATCCTTCCGGCTCTGCAATGGTCTTGTCAGACCGAAAGGGCCTAACCCAACAAAACAAACAAACAGACCTCACGGTGTCACAGGCAAACAGTCCTTAGCCATGAGTGAGAGGCCTTAATCAGGGCGGTCAACACTAGACTGACGTGGCGCACAGTCTCTGACGAACAGTGCAGCCCGCTGAGGTAGATACTATCGGAAATATCACTCCTTCCGCTGCACGGGCGAAGCATCTCCGCGGGCGGCCAGGAGACCAGGCGATCAGTCAGTCGTAGCGGAATTATTATTGAGTGCACCAACACCAGTGACGTCGGTCTTCGCAGGAAACTCTAGATGAAGCGCATCCAGGCAGGTGACGCCGTGAACTGGTGCGGCTGGCCGCCGCCAGCGCAGCATACCGCATGGTCTTCAGACCTCCCCACTCTCCCACCGAACCGACCGTTGGCCCACGATCCTGCTCCCTTTTCCGACCTCTGCAGAGCATTTGCCGCTCCGGCATTTGCATTTGCATTTGCAGGTCCGGCGAGGGTCAACATAATGGGCAGCGGAGTAGTCAAGTAATCTTGGGGCAGCGTTCCGGACGATCGACCTGCGACCTAGCGTTCGGTAAGCATCATTGATGGAAACTCAAAGATTCTTACAGTGAAATACTCCCAAGATCCTTACGGAAACTCCCGCCGGTAAGTATTAGGGTCTATGGGGGACGCATTGCGGCCTGTTTTTAAAAGGTTATTAGACCGCAATGTGCATTTATTTTTAGGTTTTCAACACAGACAAAATTGATCAGGCTATCAAATGAGACCACTGACCAAAACTATGATTTTCCGTTGCGCACAAAAGTCGTACACGAGGGCGGAATACAGGCGACCTTGAAAGTGAGGTCCATTTGTAGTGTTTTTCTCTTACTTACGCGTAAGCTTTATCTGCCAGTGAAAGCTTACGCAGCGCCAGGGAAAACGGGACCAACACACAAGGCGTAAAAATCGAGGCAATGTGATTGGTCGGCACATCGAACAGTCTGTCACAGCGACTTTGACTAGACCACGGCCAGTCGGCGCGCCACAGTCAGGTTACCACCAGGTGGCGTGAAAAGGGGCGTCTGCCGGATTACAGTGTGACGGAATATAACACACAGAAAAGCGCCGCGAATGAGAATTTCCAATAATAGGGGAAGGTGGGACATACCAGGGCAATATGAGAAAGTACATTTTATTCTAATCAGGCGTTGCTATCTGGAATGGCAATTTAAACTTCGCTCATTTGCCGCCCTTTTCGGTGGACGCCTGCGGGAGGCGGCGTTGCTGAGGATCGTGGGTAAGGCACTCTGCTGGAGTGCGAGCGCGGAGACCTCTGTCGCGTTGGTCGGGAGGGCGCCGATGCGCTAATGTAGGCACGTGAGCAAGTGGAGGATGCACGAGTGCATATTCCAGGCAAGTTTTGGTAAATAAATATGGCATCGACATGACCTTTAAGCTATCGCATTTTGAAAATTTGTCCGCTATTTTAGGGGACAGATGTTACTAAATTTTTCGTCGCGTTCGGTCGCTTTTTGCGCGAATTATTAAAAAAAAAACAAAAACGAGCTGGGTCCATGCGACCCCCCTAACAACAACAAGTGCGACAGTTTAGGCTCTAAAAGGTGTTTGCCATGTCGGGCTGTGGCGGTCACCACCGCTTGGCCCGTCTGGCGCAGCAGGCGGTCACGACACAGTCGATGATCTCGACGAGGGTGAGCAGCGAACCTCCGAGCATCAGGCCCAGGCTGCCGCCCACCTCCGAGATGAACGTCTGAAACGAGTAGGCCTCGCGCTCGGTGATAACCTGCACCAGCGGCGGCAGCGACAGGTCCACCCGCGACGCGTTCTTTCCGATCATGGACGGGTAGTCCTGGTAGACGACGGTGTCCTCCAGTTGCCAAACGGTCTGCTGCTGGACCTCGTACCGCTCGGAGGCGCACGGCTGGACGCACTCGCAGCCGGACGACATCTGCAGGAAGGAGTCCTCGTCCAGGTGGTGGTGTGCCGGGCTGTTCCTGGCCAGCTCGGCCAGCGAGCGGCACGGCGGCACCTCGGGCGGGTACGCGTGGTTCTCGAACCAGGGAACACGGCAGCTCACAGTCATGTTCAGCCTCGTCATCAGACAGAACCCTATGCACTCGTTGTAGCGCAGTTCGGCCTGTTCAGCTGCGTTGCACTGACCTGTGGACTGCAGCAGCGACTTTCTGATGTGCGTCAGTCGAATGTTGTACCATTTGTTGACTGCGACTCTGAGCCACATCGTGAGTCCCGTGAATATGGATATCTCGTCAAAGGGAATCTGGTGCGAGTGAATGTGAATCCACCATCCAGAGTGTTCATAGCTGTCGAGCTGCTGTGTCTCGTTGAAGGCGAGAATCACCTGCCCCGTGGAAGAGCGCTTTTTCACCGTCGCGTTGGTCTTGAATGTCGTGCACATGCCGTTGGCCAGGGTTGCGACGGGCGTGAGTGAGCCGACCTCTGAGCACAGCCTGCCCTGCACCTCGCACCAGAACATCATGTCGCTCCAATTATACACGGCGTCGCTGTAGAACTCGCCGATGTCGTCGAAGCTGCTCCAGTTAAGCGCGGCGAAGCTGCGGTGGCGAAACTCTGTCCATGTCACGCCCTCGTTCGTGTACCGCAGCACGCGGTTCTTTTTGAACACGTTGCCATGGCAGACGGTGATGGCCGGTACGGGGATGTTGTCGAGCATCTGGCGGGACCACTGGCGCGTGGTCCCGCCGGCCTGCACGCGAGTGATGCACTCCTTCAGCTGGAAGCACAGCCAGACGAGTAGGCCGGCGATCACCAGGAACCAGGCGGCACGGCGCAGCCAAAAGGCCCCTGGGGGCAGAGTGGCAATCGTCATCACCGATATCGTCCGATGCTTACCGGTCGAAGACTCAGTCCTGTGCTAAAACGATACAAGCCTCAGTGCATGCCCTCTGTTCATCACGAAGGGCCAGCCTAGTAACGTCGGAACTATGTATATACAGAAGAGTGGTCGATGCCACCATAGTGAAGCTAATTTGCGTGTTCAATGTGAACAGTGCTCGGCAAAAAAACAAACATACGGCTGGTTCTCGGGGTGACAGGCAATGAATTAGCCATATTACTGGCAGACTCCTTGGTGCCTGGGACTGCAGCCGAATGCTTTCCAGCTCACCGGGGTTACAGAAAATAATTTACCGGGGTTCCAGACGGCTGTTCACCGTGGTTACAGACGGCTGCTTACCAGGGTTACGTACAATTTACCAGGGTTACAGACGATTGCTTACCGGGATTACAGACGAGCGACACGCCGGTGATGCTCAGCTGAGTGACGACGTCGGAGGCGGGCGGCGGCGGCGGGCCGGGCCGCTCGCGGTAGCCGCTCCAGGCCGGCCGTGCCGGATGCGGACGCGCCGAGCCGTCCGCCGGAGCCGCCATCCGGATTGTCCAGATAATGTTCTCCTTCTTCTCCGCCATCAGAAAAACCACACTGACCGAGATCCGAGCGGTGAGTTACAGGCTTTGAAGTGAACTGCCGTTTGACACGTGCAGCATCTAAAATGACATAAAAATGTGCCGAACGGAGAGAAGCTCTACCTTAATCAGTGTATTTACTCGAGGTATATGTATAAGTACAGGCTAGTTTTCTATTGAGTTACTTAACCCTCGCCGGCACAGGCCATTTAGAGTCCTTCGACGGCACAAGGGGGGGGGGGGGGTACGACCCCCCTCGCGTTTGGCCCCTGATGGAGCTAGAGCTTCGCAGAAAAACGAGCGCGTTGCCCGTCACGAGAGGAAGCCAATGCTACCCAATTTTAAAGTCCTAGGTTATCGGTTGACCTTCCAGGTCAGGTCAATGACCCAAAATCGGGAATATCGGGACCTGATAGAAAATCGTAGTGTGGCTGCTAAGGGGATTTCCGGGGTGCTGATCACGAATATCGTGTTAGGTATGTGGTATGACAGTTTGACGTTTGTGAAAAGCGATAATGTGTGCAATATGTGTTCACATTATCGCTTTTCACAATATCGTGTTAGTTTTGATCACAGATGATGTCTGTGGTAGATTGTCACACAGCCTCTTGGCTGGCGTGCCTGGGTGCGCCACTGGCCGCCCTATCCGTCGTCCCTGAGAGCGGGCTTGCGCTCGCTCGACCTATAGCCCGGGGCGCCCAGCTGTGCGGTGTGGGTTGAGTCGGGTCAGCTGATCGAGTGAGAATACAGTTCTGACCGGTGATCGGAGGAGTGTGGTGCTGTGGTGCCGAGCTTAGTTCACGCTATAACAATGTCGTTAAGCGTTTAGACCAGGTCGGGTCAGGTCAGGTTAGGTCAACCGGTAGGGGTCGTGACGGGTATTCGTAGTACCTGTCATCCACCTCTGACAGCTTCGTAACATGTTACAAAGGCACCAAAACTACTTCGTAAACATTCAAATGGTTGCTAAATTCGAATTCAGCTCCAAAAACTAGTCCAGAAACATGTAAAACTCGAAAAAGTGAACCGAGGTCACCAAAGGTCAATGACCTGACTTGACCTTCAGGTGACCTTGACACCCACCCTAATGCATGGGAGCTACATCAAATCACATGTTTGAACGTTTGAAACCACGAAAAGCTTGCAAACGCGCGGCTAATGCGAGCCGACATACGCCGAATCGCGATTCTGGCCAAACATGGTCTCGGAAAAGAGGTCACAGGTCAAAGGTCATTTGGGTCAGGGTCATGAAACTTTCAGGGTAGGTGTAAAATTAATCAATGCGAGGGAACTAAAAGTTTCGTCGCAATGGGCCGCTTTTTACGCGAGTTATTCGCGAAAAACCTTAGGGGGGGGGGGGTGCATCAACCCTCTCTGTGCCGGCGAGGGTTAACCCGCGCCCCCTTGAGGTCTGGCAGGCTCCACGTCCTGTTTGGGGGGAGGTGCAAGGGGCCCTTTTTTGAAGGGCCCACGTTAACCTGCGGGCGCAAGGGGCCCCCGTCGTATCTCCGGAACCAATAGCCGGATCGGAAAAATTCGAAGGGCATTCGAAAGAGGTCATCGAGACGCACAAGATAGGATATCGATGACCTTGATATTTGACCTGTGACGTCACAGGGAGGTCAAACAAGGTCAAATCAGTCCAATTTACATTGACGAGAAGTCGGTCATAAAAATGAAATTTAAGTTTCCAAAATGAGTCTGGACATGATGTATATCTAATAGATCTGGCATGTGGATAGTAAGTAGTAACTCAGCAAAACACACCAAAAACTTTTTTTAAAATGTAAAAGTGACTTTTCTCACGTAAAGAATCATATTCAGTCAGGAAAAGGCTGGGGTAAGACGGGCAACTATGAATCCAATGGGTCTGTTAATGGTGAAATTTTTTTGTTGCTCTAGGAAAAAAAGAAGCATTTCTAATAAGAATATGTTCCATTCCGATACTCACAGACTGTTAGCAATATTCCTTCGGCACAGTTTATTCTCGAATAATGAATGTGAAAAACGGTTCTACATGGCTTCTGAACTAGGGCCTATATACGAGCATACACCTTCTGGACGAATCTCGTATCGTATACTGCCATTTCCGAAGCACTTGAGACCAACGAGCGACTGTATCAATGTGGCTAACCTCGGGAATTTGTTGCGAGCTGTGATGTTCGTTGAAAGAAGATGGCCGTCTTGCCCTACCCATGTGACCGTCTTACCCCATGGGGTGGGGTAAGACGGGTTTTTGCAAGGTTTTGAAAAAATAGCTGCGGTTTATTTGTTGAATCAGGTCTAAGTCTCATCTTCCGGCAAATGGAAGTAAAATGTCTAGAAAAGATTTTCACCCAGTTTCCCGTTTCTATGATGTTTCTAACCGGCCAAAAAATAGCTCCAAAGTTAAGGTGCCCGTCTTACCCTACTTTCCCCTATATGAAGTCATGCATGGGTGGATGATGTTTGAAAAAGTTACCCCGACCGGCGACCGATAGTCGGAAAGACGATATATGCTCACGTTATTGTCAACGGTCATCATAAACAAACCCCTATTCTGACCCATGGGAATGGAATGATGGATGTTGTGTTTGTTCAAGGACGAGCGTTGTATCTGACATCGTATCATTCATAACATTGTTGGCGATGAGTAAAAGGCGATTTTCTCTTAAGTGATTTTATTTTACTTAGACTTATGCAAGTTCACACCACGTCCAAACCATATCATAAGCCATTATGATTAAATGTTGCGTTTTCAGCTTTTTATTGTTTTGTTTTCAGCTCAAAATAGCTACAAAAAATGACAGCTCACCTCGTACGAGCTTTACAGAGACAATTGAACGTTGGAACCAAAACACTAAAATGGGTGCCCACGCCCAGTACTGCCCACGTATCCCGGTTACAAAAGTCCGAGCTCGAAGCGTGACGGACGCTCGGTGTTTATGAGCATCCTGACGGCTACGCCCTAGTGACGGTATGGTTGCGATTGGTGGCAGGCCAGTCGAAGGCAGTGAGGGCAAGCCGTGGGTCTGAAAAATTGCGCCGAAGGCGCGCGCCAAATTTTCGAAACTGAACACCGTTTGAGAGCAATCTTGGCATTAGCGACCACACACGGGTCCTAGGGTTGGAGATTATGGTATTGGTAAGTTAACCCGCGCCTCACTGGGGTCTGCGTATAACACGCCCTACTGGGGGGGGGGGGGGGGGCTATTCATAGCCCCCCTCCTAACTCCGAAACTACTGGGCCGATCGTCAAAATTCAAACGGCGTCTGATAGCCCCGGAAAAACTGTCGAACGAAAGCTAATTTCATTGACCTCGAGGTCATCGATGACGTCACAGGTCAGGTCAAAGTAGAAATTATTAGCATTTTGGCTTCTTCACGTTTTGGGCTCTGGCCGCCGTCTTACAAGTCAGATCAGGATTATTTTGGGTTCACACACTCGTGAACAGATGCTCTAGATACCCTGAGGGTACCAAACTTGTACTTTGATTTTCAGGTCAAGGTCAGGTCATCACAGGTCACGAAAATATTATATCATGCGTCGGTCACGTGACACATGTTTTATGGTCCATTTAGGCCAAAAATTTCGAATTTGATGTCGTCTGTGTCATTCGAGGTCATTTTGAGTCGAATTTAGCTTAGGTCAGGTCACTTTCAGGTCAAAAAAGGTCAAATTTTGAAGTTATAATTTTTCAACAGAAAAGGTGTCTATTGGATGCAGTTTGAGCTCAGGAACACGATGGTGCTATTTATATTGGCGTACGATGTCAAATACGTGGTGAAAAATTGATTTGAAAAACTAATATTGTGAATTTTTTGCAATAATGCGTATAACTTGGCCATTTTTGAAGATATTTAGCTAAAACTTGCTAGAGTTAGTCATAATAAACGCGTTCTATCACATATATTCCGTTTTTTTAAAAAGTCGAAAACGTTTTGAAAAAATGTAAAAATGTAAATTTTGAATTTTATTATATAAAATTTTCGAAATTTTCAAAATTTCGAAAATCCGAGATAGCAGTTTGATAGCGCAGTTTATTCTGAGTCCTCTCATGCAAAGAAATTGGATGTAGCTTAAAAACTGAGCCCTTGGGAGCGATTGCCGTGGTTCAATGTTTTGCGTCGAAATCGGCCGAACATGACGTCACTCTAACGTCATTTCCGGCCGACCTATGGTAGCTACGAAGTTCAAATTTTGACATAAGGTGTCAAATTGATGCAGCCGAAGGTACTGAAAGTTTGGCGTCGATACGTCAATTGGTTTGGAAGTTATTGCAGAAAAACGGGAGGGGGGCTATAAATAGCTCTCCCCCAGTTGGGCGCGGTTTGAGGAAATGCCTACCTGATTGGCAATATTGCGCCTATGGCCGTCAACATCCGAAGAACGACAGTTCTCTTTTCTCGTATGGCGACAGCTTTTAGGAGTTACAAGAGTGGAAAAGTTACCCCGTCCGCGCCGGGGTAGGCTGAAAGTTACCCCGGCCACGGCCGGGGTGGCCGGGGTAGGTTCTCCACCCATGAAGTCATGTATGGTATATGTATGGGATCATTCTGACGCGTTTTAGTGGAAAAAACAGGGAGTTGATTTTTCCCCCATTGACTTATAATGGGGAGGCCGAGAAATTGACCTGACCTTAGGTCATCGATATCAAAATTCCGAGATATACAACTTGTAGCTAGCAATGCCCTAATAATATCCTCCGACTTTCAAAGGACTCAGTCATCTACTGTAGCTCTGACACGGTGACAAAGTTGCAAAAAAGTGACTTGAGGTTGGGTCAGTCAAAGTGACCCGGTGACCTGACCCTAACCCTCGCCCATACATGCCATTTTCCCATCCACACCATTTCGTTCCTGTTGGAGATAGAGCTTCGCGGTAAAAACAAAAAACATTCTTTGGGAAGAGACGAATCCAATGATACCCAGTTTTACCTTCTCAGGTCAGTCATTGACCTTCCAGGTCAGGTCAAACTAAAAATGTTGCTGTTTTGGGCCATCGCTGGTTATCAAGTGCGCTG